ATTCCTGCGGCATAAATTAACAGGTTGAAAGGAAAATGGTTGGCAGAGGACCAGGAGGGCACAGGAAGGTATCTAATCGATCATTTTGAAAATGGAAAATTACTAATATTACAAGAAGTAAGGCTATGAGTAAAAGTGTGTACTTTTAATGAAGTGTCATATTTTAATTGCCTGTACAACACTGTCTGCCTGTGTGTATGCACAAAATCAGACTAATTATGTTATGAAGTGTTATTCTTTTGTGAAGAACACATCATGTATAGTGCTCTGTTCAGTACACAGAAAAGGAAGGGATCAGCAGCTTTTAGTTCTTCATTCTGTGTGTGTGGACTTCACCTTATATTCCACAATAAAAGCTTTGCTCTCAACACAAATTCCTTCCCGCATTTTTTTCCATAATATTTGTCAATGTCTAAGTAACTCATTAAGCATCAAAACATTCACTTTCACATCTTTGTGCCAAGACGGGTGTTGTGGTTTGGCCTGGCAGGCAGCTGAACACCACTCAGCTGTTCACTCACTCTCCACTCCTCCCAGTGGGATGGTGGAGAGAATTGGAAAAAAAGTAAAACTTGTGGGTTGAGATAAAGACAGCTTAACAGGCCACAAAAGAAAGGGAAAATAATAATAGTGATAAAAAAATATGCAAAACAAGTGATGCACAATGCAACTGCTCACTACCTGCTAACTGATGCCCAGTCAGTCACTGGGCAGCAGTGGCTGTCCCCCAGCCAACTCCCCCCCAGTGGTGGTGTTTGGCATGATGTCACTATGGTCTGGAACATTTCTTGGTCAGTTGGGGTCAGCTGTCCCAGTCGTGTCCCTTCCCAGCTTCTTGTGCACCTCTGGCCTCCTCACTGGCAGGGCAGTATGAGAAGCTAAAAAGTCCTTGACTTAGTGTAAGCCCTGCTCAGCAACAGCTAAAACAGTGTGTTAGCAACATTATTCTCATCCTAGATCCAAAACATAGCATTATACCAGCTACTGGGAAGAAAATTAACTCTATCCCTGTCAAAAACAGGACAATGGGATTTTACTTCTATTCTAAAAGAGGATCCAAAACAAAGTTCAGTGTCAAAATGTAAAACTCCTTCCACACACACAATTTGAATCCCTTAAAGCATAAATACAGGCTATGCAGCACCCCAAATAATTACAATTCTTATGGACTTAAACATTTCCATTAAAGACTGGTGAGATGAATATTGTTAGGAACAGTTAAGGCATAGCTGAGTCTATCTTTAATGAAGATAATGTGCAAAATGACCCCCTAAGGTCCTTTCTAACATGTTTTCTATCCTTAAATTGCAACTATGAATGCTCAGCTCTTCTGCAAGCCAGAATCTAGGATTTCATATTCTGACAAGCAAAGTACAGTTTAACCGATTTGCCTAATACCACACACAAATTTCATGTCAAAGCAGGGACAGAAACTCATTTTCCAGAAAGGTATTCTGCTACTTTAGTCACGAAGTAATTTGTTATGCTATTTCCCCTACTTCAGTCACTAAACAGTTTTCAGCTTCTTCAGCAAGAAAAGAAGCCAGGATTCCACAGGCAAGAGCCTCCTTTACTATCCACTTCTGACTCTTACCATCGGGATGTATTTCCAGAAATACGCTTTGAAGGTTTACTGATGAAAAATGTATTTCTGATAAAACATTTAATTGTACTTTACAAGAAACTTGGAAAATACTAGAAAGGAAAGAACAATGGTGCCTGAGGCTCTAAGGGCTTGGAGATAGTTAGCTTTTCTGGTGTCAGAGACTAAAGTGATTGTACTTTGATGTTGCCAGCATTGCTGGCAAAACTAGTCAACTCAACTCAGTCTACGATTTTCTTTTGGATTTGCAGATCCAATTATAACTGATAGTGCTATAAGAGATGGGGTAACATTTCTTGAGCTGCTTGTAATGTAAGTAGAGAAAAACACTGTCACAATTTCACTCCGTAGAACTGCAGATCTAGGTAATATGAAGGTATGTTCAAATTCATAACACAGAGTTGCAACACTGTACTCACACGTATAAACATATACATAAAATGAAACATTATGTGCTAATAACATAATATACTGAACACAGAAGGCTTACCATAAGCAAAGATCTCAATAACATGATTTGAATCCTCCTAGTTCCCAAATCTCTACAATTGGAGAAAAAGTTGAAAATTAGTTTCTTTGCATATCTTCAAAATATGATTCTACTCCAGACATCTAACAACGTTTTTAACAAGTGAATACAGCAGTCTTGGAAGGGATGCTGGATGACCACAAATAAGGGGCAAATATCTCCAAACGAGATGCAATAACTAAATGTTTTTGAAAGGGACATTTATAGGAAGGCTTAAAAAAACAAGCAGACAAAATTGAAAAAAAGGTAAATGATATATGTGAAGCAGATCTAAATCTTCATGCTTCATTCAGAAATCTCATTGTATCTGAAAAGTTCAACTGCTACATGCTTGACTTAATTTTCACAAGCGTCAGTGCTCAGAATTTCTTCTGAATTAAAATGCAGTTGAGATTTTTAGGAAACCAGAATGCTTCCTATTTAAGTCACACCCCAAAACTTTGAGACTGAAAAAAAAATTATCTGTAGAATCAGCAAGAAAAACTGAAAGAACCCTCGGTTTTCAGATCACAGGAAGGTACAGAGAACACTAAACCTGTTCTTCATCTGTTATCATTTTCCATCTGCTGGTACTAAAAGAAGTTAAATACTTATTGGTACACAGTCACATATATGCTGTTCTTGCAACAGCTTACAAGATAAAAGTGCACTTGGAATGAATTGCTCCATTCAAAAAGACTATTTCAAGAAAGTAAAAAAGGTACAAACCCCTTTGTTCACCAAACAGCATAAAGAAAGAGCAAGCCTCTTCACAAAAGATGGCCCCTACATAACCTTCCATCTTCCCAGGCTATAATCCTGGCTATATCCAGTTGGCAGTACCATTCAAATGTTTTGTGCAGCAGAGACCAAACGTTCAGGTAAGTAATGCAAGACTGTAGCAGCAGTCAGAAAGCCTGCTTTATTCAGAATGACATATGCACACCATAATAACATACTACTCAGTCCCATGTTTACAAGGAACCCATAAAGGAAAATTGTAGTAGTTAAAAAGCCAACAAAAAATCCTCCAAATCAAGTGGTAATCCAAGGACAGAATTCTAAATGGATCTGTATTTCAAATACCTTCTTAATGAGCAATAGTCTGGAACAGACAGATTTCTGTCTTCCACGGAATAGTGCCCTACACTGCGGGGACACAATACTGTACGAAAAGCTACCAAGAAGCCAGAAGAATGACAATGACTTCCCACTTAAGCTAGCAGGGGGTCAGACATAAGTGGTACAAAATATTCATGCATACCTGGAAAGAATAGCTGAAACCTTTCCAGTGACTTTCCCCATACTGAGCAAAATAACTATTCACTTTACAGAGAAAATTATTACTTCAGTGTATGGCAGATTTTAATTACGAGTTTATTACAGGAGTCTGCCCACCCATAGCTTTTGTCCATTTCCAAATACATAGGGAAAATTTAAACCAAAACAAATTCACTGGAATCCATCACAGAGGCTAGAAGCAAGGACAGGTAACCTGAGAGGAATACAGAGAAATTGTCCGAGCAACCAGGGATCAGGTAAGGAAAGATGGAATTAAATCTGGCCAGGGACATGAAGGGCAACAAGAAAAGCTTCTATAGATACGTCGGTGATAAAAGGAGGACTAGGGAAAATGTGGTCCCTCTCTGGAAGGAAATGGGAGACCTGGTTACCCAGGACATGGAGAAGGCTGAGGTTCTCAACGACTTCTTTGCCTCAGTCTTCACTGGCAAGTGCTCCAGCCGCACAGCCCAAGTCACAGAAGGCAAAGGCAGGGACTGGGAGAATGAAGAACCGCCCACTGTAGGAGAAGATCAGGTTTGAGACCATCTAAAGAGCCTGAAGGTGCTCGATTCCATGGGATGTGATGAGATGCATCTGTGGGTCCTGAAAGAACTGGCAGATGAAGTTGCTAAGCCACTACCCATCATATTTGAGAAGCTGTGGCAGTCCAATGAAGTTTCCACCAAATGGAAAAAGGGAAACATAGCCCCCATTTTTAAAAAGGCAAAAAAGACACAGGGAACTACAGGCCAGTCAGTCTCACCTGTGTGCCTGGCAAGATCACAGAGCAGATCCTCCTAGCAACTATGCTAAAGCACATGGAGAAAAACAAAGTGACTGGTGACAGCCAACATGGCTTCACTAAGGGCATATTGTGCTTAACAAATTTGGTGGCCTTCTACCATGGGATTACAGCATTGGTGGATAAGGAACTGGCTGGATGGTCACACTCAAAGAGTTGCAGTCAATAGCTCAATGTTCAAGTGGAGACCACTGACGAGTAGCATTCCTCAGCGGTCAGTATTGGAGCTGACATCGTTTTCCATGTTTGTCGGTGACGCAGTCAGTGGGATTGAGTGCACCCTCAGCAAGTTTGCTGACAACAGCAAGCTGTGTGGTGTGGCCAACACGCTGGAGGGAAGGGATGCCATCCAGAGGGACCTTGACAGGCTGGAGAGGTGGGCCTGTGCAAATCTCATGAAGTTTAACAAGGTCCTGCACGTGGGTCAGAGCAATCCAAGCACAAGTACAGGCTGAGTGGAGAACAGATTGAGAGCAGCCCTGAGGAAAAGGACTTCGGAGTGCTGGTTGATGAGAAGATCAACACAAGCCAGCAATGTGCGCTGGCAGTCCAGAAAGTCATCCGTTATCCTGGGCTGGATACGGTACCCCACCTGGAGTAACACGTTCAGCTCCGGGGACTCCAACATAAGAAGGACATGGACCTACTGGAGTGAGTCCAGAGGAGGGCCACGAAGATGATAAAAGGGCTGGAGCAGCTCTCCTATGAAGACAGGCTGAGAGAGTTGAGGTGGTTCAGTCTGGAGAAGAGAAGGCTCCAAGCAGACCTCCTAGCAGCCTTCTACTACTTAAAAGTGGGCCTACAAAAATGCTGGAGAGAAGAGAATGTAATAACAGGTCAAGGGGCAACGGCTTTAAACTGAAAGAGGTTGATTTTGATTAGATCTAAGGAAGAAATTTTTCCCTCTGAGGGTGGTGAGGCACTGGAACAGGTTGCCCAGAGAAGTTGTAGATAACCCATCCCTGGAAGTGTTCAAGGCCAAGCTGGAAGAAGGTTTGAGCTACCTGATCTAGGGGAAGGTGTCCCTGGCCATTGCAGGGAGGCTGGAACTAGATGATTTTCAAGGTCCTTTCGAACTCAAACGATTCTATGATTCTATGAATTTCTGTATTTTATTTCTTAATCTGAAGTCAGCTTGTACAGAATGAAGAAAAAAAGAAAAAACATTTGTAAATTATGCAGCTATTTGAAAAAATGGTGTCATAGTTCAATTTCTCTGTTTCACAAAACAAATACATAAGAAGTTACAGAACTGAGCACCATTAAAAAGATAATTTCAGAAACATTTGTACAGATGTGGAGAAAAGAAATTTTTTAGTTCAAAACAAGTTGCATTCCACTAAGGTATTTCCTATCTGTAATGTGTTTGGAGATTGATTTCATACTGCTGACACTGTGCTTGCCTTGATTCTGAATGGTATTTAATACAAACCCTAATGAGTCAGAATTCATATTTCACTTTTAATTTTTTTCATTTTTTAATTTATCATTGGGATCGTAAAATCTAAATTTTTAATTGGAAATTTAAAAACGTAGGCTATACAAACCCAAGGTGACTGGTATCCAGTGATTGTGAAGTTGTTCCCAACACAGGTACTTTTCCCATGATGAACATCATAATCTCTGATCTCTGGTAATCTGGGAGATTGCTTCCAAAAAAACCTAAATAAAAACAGACTGAAATCACAGAAGGGAACAAATACAGGACCCTTCTCTTTATAAGAAAAGCTTTATGAATACAAGGAATACATTTTCAAGGTCAAAATAGATGAAGAATAAAACTATTAGTTTTAGGGCATAATAGTCACATTTCTGTTTCTGCTGAATGGCTTTGCAGAATCTTTTCATGACACTCACTTTCTTCTTCGAATCCTAAAACTTTCTAATTTTATCCTCCTTTAAATATAAAGTTTAAACGTAAATTTGTGACATCTGTTAATTTGCAATTAGTGAGGAACTGGAAGTGTTTCTCGTGGAACACATTGTTGTTGTTTTTGCCTGAAGTCACCGTTGAATATTACAGGTGCACGAACAGAAATCTCAGAAGCATACTGGCATTACACGACCATGGCTTAAGAGACCGCCGAGGCGAGCAGCTCCAGGGCCAGGGGATCAGCAGCAGAGAGCTCTAGTGTGGTGCACAGGGGAGCTCCTGAACCTCGGTAACGACAGGGGAGCAGAGACACCCACCAGGAGCCTGTAGCTCACGCGACACTGGCTGAGGAGACCTGAGAGGGGCCAGGAGTAACCATGGCCAAGCCTCTACATGTATAAAAGAAACTCCTGAGGAGTGCTAGTGACCAGAAGCAGCGTAGTAGTTGGCACACAAAAAGGGTGCTGTAGCTCTGATGGCTCAACCAGAGAGCAATGGCATCCACTCGGCAGAAAGCCATGGCTTCTCTAAACTCTGTGCTCACCATGACAAACGCAACTTCCCAGACAGAGCATTTGTTACTGTGTCCCACAGTATCCTTCTGGACAAAGCGCCCAGCAAACAGCCAGACAAGTCCATAATATGCTGGGTGAGCAACTGGTTGACAGGTCAGTCTCACTATAGTAAATGGGTTACATCAGGCTGGTGGCTGATGAACCCCCAGTGGGGTTCCCCAGGGCTTGATTTTAGGGACAGTGCTCTTCTATGTTTTTATAAATGATCTGGAGGAAGGAATTGAATGTACATGATTTAAGTTTGCTGGCGATGCTAAACTAGGAGGAGCTATGGACTCCCTCAAGGGTAGAGAGGCCTTACAGAGAGATCTGGATAGACTAGATAGCTGGGCAATCACTAACCATATGAAATTTAACAAGAGCAATTGGAGGCTTCTGCACCTGGGATGGGGTAATCCTGGTTATACATACAAGTTGGGGGAGGAGAGGCTGGACAGTCGCCCTGCAGAAAGAGATCTGGGGTCCGGGTTGATGGCAAGTTGAATAGGAGTCAACAGTGTGCCCTGGCAGTCAAAAGGGCCAACTGTGTCCTGAGGTGCAACAAGCACAGCATAGCTAGCCGACTGAAGGAGGTGATTGTCTCACTCTACACTGCACTGGTGTAGCCCCACCTCGAGTACTGTGTGCAGTTTTGGGTGCCTCAATATAACTACTATATTATGTGTCCATCAAACTACTATAGTGTGTCCAGAGGAGGGTGACCAATATGGTGAAAATCCTTGAGGGCAAGACTTACAAGGAGCAGCTGAGGTCACTTGGTTTGTTCAGCTTGGAGAAGAGAAGGCTTAGGGGTGACCTCATCGCAGTCTACAACTTTCTCAAGGAGGGCTGTGGAGGGGGAGGTGCTGATCTCTCTCTGGTGACCAGTGACAGGACATGAGGAAATGGAATGAAGCTGCATCACGGGGAGTTCAGATTGGACATTAGGAAAAGGTTCTTCAGTGAGAGGGATGGTCACTGGAACAGGATCCCCAGGTAAGTGGTCAGGGCACCAAGACTCTCGGAGTTCAAGAAGCACCTGCATGATGCTTTTAGTCATATGGTTTAGTTTTAGGTAGTGCTGTGAGGAGGAGGGAGTTGGACTCAATGATCCTTATGGGTTCCTTCCAACTTTTTCAACTCGAGATTATTCTATTCTATTCTATTCTATTCTATTCTATTCTATTCTATTCTATTCTATTCTATTCTATTCTATTCTATTCTATTCTATTCCCGTGCAACAGTATAAATGCAACTTTTATAGAAAGAACATTTACTTTAAAAGGTTGGGTTGTGTGTTTTTTGAGATTTTTTTGAGGGGCGGGATTTAGTATTTTAACATGCAGTTCTACTGTAATAATGAGAAATAATCTACTACATATTTGCTACTGCTCTAGAAAGCTTCAAGGCATAAGTAAAGGTACAGATAAGTGAACAACATTTAAATTACATTCCCCCTTGTTCTTTAAGTAAAGGAACACACATCATAAATGCACTGCAATACATATCACTACCATAAAAAGAATATCTGAAAAAAGGGGAGAGGCTATTTTAATGAAATCTTTTACAGAAATTGTAGCTCTCATTTTCAGTATTGTGCTTAAAAGCACGTCAGTGAAGTCGCGGTAGCAGCACCGGCCATTAGGTGTCATTGTTGGTGCTATGTTTAACATTGGCTTCTACAAATTTTCAGGTAGTACCTACTAAAATATATAACTGTATATGATTGCTTGCAATATGAATTGCATAAAAGGAGTAATATTAGTTCTGTACTAAAGGTACAGAATGATGTCTATATCTCAAGGGCCATATAATAATATAACCAACAAATTTATTATAAGTCCACCAGCATTTTTAACATTCATTGAGCTTCTTGGCTATTTGCACAGTTGACAAGCAAACAAACAGTCTTTCAGAAGACAAATCTGTAAAGCGAGCCTGAGATTTAGAAGCAAGTACAATCAGAGGTATCACACTTGTCATTATTCCTTTTCGATTCAACCTGTTTTAACATCATCTCATTGAGGAAGGGGGAGAAGGGGAGGAATTTTTCGTGAGCCTATCTTACTGTCATTACTCACCAATGGTTTGAATAATAGCGTTCTGGACAATCCTCTCATCGCTCTCCTTGGAGCTTGTGCTGAAAGTGGCACTTCCCGCTGAACTGCGCCTGTCGCTCAGCTCAAAGTCAACACTGATGCGCAAGTGCTTCAACAAGGTATTAAAAACCTCCAGAACTGTTGGGCCTGGAAACAACACATAACAATGATTGCACCTGCCACGGGAAAGATGCTTTAGGAAAATGAGAGCTAATCACTTCAATCCCTTTTCCGAAGAAATCAGATTAAGCTGGAAAGAACACATGAAATACACTGTTTGAAGGATACAGCCTAGGGGTAAACTTTTGAAATGTGCTTACACCCTGGTATTTTAGAAATTATTTTGGAATCAGGAAATGCAGTCAAGTATATATATATGTGTAATCCAGTACTATTAAGTTGTAAAGGGTCTGGCTAGGATGGAGTTAACTTTCTTCTTAGCAGTCTGGGTGGTGCTGTGCTTTGGATTTGTGACTAAAATACTGTTGACAACACACCAGTGTTTCAGCTGTTGCTGAACAGTGCTAGCAAGTGTCAAGGCTTTTCCTTTTTCCCACTCTGTCCCTACAGAGAGTAGGCTGGGGTGTGCAAGAAACTGCGAGGGGACACAGACCGGGAGAGCTGACCCAAACTGACCAAAGGGATATTCCATGCCATGTAATGTCATGTTCAGCAATAAAAGTTCAACAAGGCCAAGTGCAAGGACCTGCACGTCAGTCGGGGCAATCCCAAGCACAAGTACAGGCTGGGCGGAGAATGGATTGAGAGCAGCCCTGAGGAAAAGGACTTGGGAGTGCTGGTGGATGAGAAGCTCAACATGAGCCGGCAATGTGAACTGGCAGCCCAGAAAGCCAACCGTGTCCTGGGCTGTATCAAAAGAAGTGTGGCCAGCAGGCCGAGGGAGGTGATTGCCCCTCTACTCAGCTCTCATGAGACCCCACCTGGAATACTGTGTTCAGCTCTGGAGTCCCCAACACAAGAAGGACATGGAGCTACTGGAACGAGTGCAGAGGAGGGCCATGAAGATGATCAGAGGGCTGGAGCACCTCTGCTATGAAGACAGGCTGAGAGAGTTGGGGCTGTTCAGTCTGGAGAAGAGAAGGCTCCGGGGTGATCTTATAGCAGCCTTCCAGTACTACTTAAAGATGAGCCATAAAGGAAAATGGTTTTAAGTACATTTTTGTTTTGAGCCCTTCCCAGTCAATTTAGGGAAGGCATTTGGCAGAGGAATATAGTCACATTTTTTCCTAATTGTATTTCTCTGTGAAACTGCCCAGAGAAGTTGTGGATGCCCCATCCCTGGAGGTGTTCAGGGCCAGGTTGGCTGAGGCTTTGGGCAACCTGGTGTAGCGGAGGATTTCCCTGCCTGTGGCAGGGGGGTTGGAACTAGATGATCTTTGAGGTCCCTTCCAACCCTAACCATTCTATGATTCTATGATTCTAAAAGCTCAAGGAAAGGAGGAGGAAGGGGAGGATAGTTGTTTGTATGGCATTTGTCTTCCCAAGTAACCGTCACGGATGCTGAGGCCCTGCTTTCCAGGAAGCAGCTAAACATCCGCCTACCAATGGGAGGTACAGAATGAATTCCTTTGCTTTCCTTGTGCACGCACCTTTTGCTGCACCCACTAAACTATCTTTATCCTGATCCATGAGTCTTCTCACCTTTTTCTACCTTCTCCCTACGCTGTGGGAAAGGGGAGCGAGCAAATGGCTGTCGGCCAGTCAACCCACCACACAAGTTTTACATGGAAAATATGAGTGGTTGCTGAAATTAAGCATCAACAGCAGGTTAAACTGCAAGTACTTGCACCTGAACTTCAGTTACTTTGAAACCTGCTACTAAAATCCAGGTTTATATGTTGGATCAAATTATGAGCTCTTTTTGTGATATGGTAAAGGCTTCACAAGTCTGTGCATGTAATTGGGTCTTGTATAAACAGAAAGGACAGACTCAGAGTCAAGCTAACGAAGCAAAGCAATAATGTTTCTGCAGAAGACCAAAGAAAAAAAACAGCAGGGCACGTGTGTGTACACATCTTCATAACTACGCTTATTTCAAGGAACTACACTACATTAAACAACATAATTCATGTTATTTTAGCTGCTTCACAGTTACTAAGGTAAAATTTCTCAAAGATCATTCTACTCTTAAGTCTCATATTACCACTCATCTCACAGCAGCTGTATCACAAAGCGACAGTGCTCTTGACATTTTGTAGAGTCACACACAGTTCTCTCAGACTTTGTGACTCCTTACCAAACAGAAATTTGGCATTTCACAAAGGTGTAAAAATAAATCTACTCATTTTTTCAATGTAAAGGATTATAAAACAGTCAATTGACCAAATAAGTACATGTTTGAATAATTGTAAACCCAGTAAGATTTCAGGTATTTTATGAGCACAAAGGAGAAAAAATTAATCGACACAAAGCCTTTTCAAAATACATGCTTTCAATTCAGTCTGAAAACAAAGCAAAAATGAGCACCACTCTTCAAATCTATCCTTTGACCTGATGCCTTTAATTTAAGACTTACCTATTGATCCTTTAGCTGCTACTGCAACTGCTTCCAAAAGAACCTGAATAATACCAGCACGAACTCGTGGTGAGTCTCTTTTGCGAACATCAAGGTGTCCAAGAATTTCTTGTATTACATGATGGGAATATTGTGCCTATTAAAAAATAAACAAATATTAAGGAAAGCTCCATCTGTAACTTTAATAAGAATAAACTCATATACCATCCAGCTATAGTTGGGACCATGTTCCTACTCTGCAACATTCTGACTCATAAATTTCAATCAATTCATGATTAAATACAGATTAAAAAAAACTACCATGACAGATGAGGACACACAAGTCCACCCAGCCCAGTACACAAAAGCTTACAGCATTAAAATATCCAGTAATGTCATTCAGCCAACTGCAGTTCAAGGACCTCAGCTGGTCTTACAAAAAAGCACCATTGAGATACATATTCCACTGAGAAAACGCAGCTTTCTTCCACAGACCTGGAATTTTATGACTTTATTTTTTGGGTGTCTGTGCTTGATGCAATCCAAGAATCAGACCTTGATCGTATTTACAACAGACAACAGGAAAAATCAATCAGCACAATACAGTTCCATGCGAAGTTGGTTTCTTGGGTTGCAAAAGCAGCACAGCTGTACCGGCAAGGAGAAACGACCCACTGAAGTGCGATTTATTTATCAAGCACAATGTTGGATTCGTACGGCTATCCTGCTCCTTGCTCTGGAGCTTGCTGAAGGAGCTATCTTCCATGGAGAATCCTTTCATCCTTTTTTCTTCTACAGGTGTACAGTAATTGAAAGTAAATCAGATAACTTCTGATCACAAACCATGGTTAGCTTATTATTTGGAAAGTTTAAAGAATAAGGCTAAGGAGTTATGGAAACAGATCTTTTGGATTCTTTGTCTTCATCTACTCTCTATCAGTATCATGCTGAGTTGAGTATTTAAACCTGAGTCATGTGGTCAAAACATGTACACGAGGAAAAAAAAAATCCAGGAGAAAATCCTACCTGTATAGAATACATGATGATTTTGAAGCAGGAAACAGCAAATTCATTGGGATCCCATAGTCTATGATGGTCCAAATGCCTGTAATAAAAAATTAAGGGACTTGAAATAATGATATTCCACAGATATAATAAATGGCATCTTATAGTTTTCTCAAAACTCACCTCAAAGGGATTATTTCCTTATATAAAGCTTCTAAACAATTACTTAGTAACTAGGTGAGAAAACTTCAGAAAAGCATTTGTTTTCGACTTTAAGGATGCGATCATGAAACATTTGTCTGTAACAGAAATTCCTGATCTTCTAGTTTCAGGAATTTATGGAACCTAGTCATAACAACGATACAGTTAAGAATATACTGTTTCCGTACAAATTGCATGCGTTCAAATGGCTGTGACATTATGTGCTTATTCACATGGAAGACACACACTGAAGAGGATGGTTACAATACCTTGACAAACTTCCACTCTAAATAAGATAAAGAATTTGTTTTGAATCAGGAGCTACAAAATACCTATGGCTGAATTTTACATCCATAGAGACTCTACGTTACATCCTTAGAGACTCTAAGAACTATTTTCGTTTTCAGTCTTTTCATGAATAATATAAGGGGAAAACAAAAAAGAGCTACTCTTTGTGTATATACTCCTTTATCGCTCTGAAGCATTTCAACACTTTCTGCAAGAAATATCAAAACAGAATCAGAACGATAAATGCATCAGTTTCTCTTTAAATGGGATAGGAACCACTGATGAAAAACTGTCAGTTTGAAGCAAAGACAAGAAATTCTGCTTAAGCACTATATGCTGAAAGCTATGAATAGAGAACACATCAAATTTTCCAAAAAGGAGATCTGAGTACCTGGAAAAGCATGGCAAAAATAAATGCATTTTTAAATCTGAAACACTGAAAAAAAGGAATTTGGAATGCCTTTTAATCGGAATGATTTAGGTAAAAGAAAAAAAAAAACACACCAAACAACAAACCACAAAAAAACCCACAAAACAGATGCCAAAACCCACAAAAAAACTTTCTTACAGAAACTGAATTTTGGTAGTGTTTCTAAACAGGTATCTCAGCTACAGAAACACTATTGGCCTGCTCTTTCCCAAAGAACACAGTAAACATGTAAAGATGCTTCAAATAACAACCTTGAAAGCATACAGGTGAAAGAAGTCCGTACTCTGAATGCAAGAGGACTGAATGGATGCTTAAACTGGAATAAATTTAACTGAAATAAATTCCAGAATCTGGAATTCTCACTGGCCAGCTGCTACCAGGCTAGTGACCCAACTGAGCACACGGGTCTCCTTCAAGGTTGATTAAACCAGCTGGCATAAAGCAACCCTCTCCTGTGCCCTAAATTATCTTGCAGTCCATTGCAGGGCTAAAATAACGTACTGCCATTTTCACAAAATACCTACCTTTAACAGAAATCCCTACAGGAAAGAATTCCAGGAATTTTAAAGGTGTTTGTCTGCCAAGGTAACGGCATATTTGCATTACTAAACTGGACTATCTGTTGGGGATAGCTGCCTTTCCTGTGCACATTCCAAACACACAGGTAGACTTAATCCTGCCTTGGGCTAGAAAGACAAACAAAATTACTTCTTTAAATCCTTCAAGGCTTAGTGGTTTATAATATACTTATCTGTGTCTTCCTCCTCTCTGATATAATTCCAGTACAGTCCATCATTTCTTGTACACGATAGCTTATTTTAGCTCACCTATTTTCTATTTGTCTCATCAAATACAAAATCATGGTCTCCACTATCTTCACCTGATTGGAACTGATCCTTTAATCTTTCAGGGTAGCATGTGTTCTCTGTTACCTTTGACAGACCCAAAGATCTATTCAGGCAGATTATGGTCAACTACATCTTCTATCAAGCTTTTTTTAAAAACCTTTCCTCTCAAAACAAGACATACAGTTTTCTTTTTCCAAAAAGAGAAAGCATCAGCTACTTCAAGTAGCTGAACTGATGGGAAGACAGCAGGAGGAAGATGACAGCCTACGTTAATGTTCTCTGTAATAGCTCAACAGGCAGCATACTTTGTATACTGGAATTTTCCTCCTAAGAATATACATTACTGTAGGTGATATATTTCACTTGTCATAATGCAGGCAGTGTATTCAATGTAGTTTTGTTTTTGTAAAAGATGGTAAATGGTATTTTCAGCATGGTGCATTTAGTTTTGCTAAAATCAAGTCACATTTTGCCTATTTTTTCCCAATTCAATTTCTTTTAATAAAGAATATCTAAGTAATATTGCAAAACATTTTATTACTGGATTAACAAATGCCAAACTCTGCTTCATATATGGAGCAAATGTGCTCAACTAGGTTTCTCAAATTAAAAGGAACAGCAGAATCAACAGTGCAAATTACTAGTACTCTAGGGAGTGAGAGCCACTAATGGTCCCTGAATTCACTCACATTCACACATGCAAGCAATCCTTACAGTACAAAATGTCAAATTGATACCGATGATTAGAAAGCAGAACTCAGGCATGTATGGGAATATATAAAATAATCTTCGCATGCATTGTATCTGCTGAAAGAATATTAAACACCAGTCTTCTGATATTCAAAACTCTTGCACAGATGATGTGATAACTCACAAGAATGGAAATACGGTGAGACTAATAGGGTGTAAACTTGGGAAGCTGTTTGTAGTCACTAGATTGCTGTATCCCTCTGGATCTGCCTAATCTATTCACCATTGCAAATTCATGCTAAGTCAGTCTGAATCACTTGTGATGACACAAAATATAAAATTTTTTCATACCGTATTAATACAAAAATTTTTACTTTCATTAAGCAGTTTGCCAGATTCATCTGTCAGATTTCATTCAAAATGAGAATTTGAGAGTTTCTAGCAACTGAGTGTAGAGACACTTATAACTATGGAGATTTTCTGCCGAAGGCAAAGAGAATTAAGGTCAATTCAAACTCGTAGCAGGAGACAGACTTCAGATTTCAGCTACCTACATTATATTTAAATTCCTCAGCCTTCGAATGTACTCAGCCTCATGATGCAAGAAGCACTGTTCTCTTAGTTTTGCAAGGAAGTGGTACCATGTTGACTGATATTTCAATGCCACATGAAGTAAGACTTCAAGTGGGGAAACAAAGCTGCATCTTCAGTGTTAGCACTGTAGTAAGTGGCCTTATCTTTATTTCTGGAGCTTTCTTAAAAGCTGTGAAATTGTTGAAAACTGTTAGGAAAAAACTGTTTTCTAATCAAGTATAGAATCATAGAATGGTTTGGGTTGGAAGGGACCTTAAAGATCATCTAGTTCCACCCCCCCTGACATGGGCAGAGAAATCCTCCACTACACCAGGTTGTCCAAAGCCTCATCCAACCTGGCCTTGAACACTTCCAGGGATGGGGCATCCACAACTTCTCTGGGCAACCTGTTCCACTGCCTCACCACCCTCAATGTAAAAAGTTTCTTCCTTATATCTAATCGAAATCTCCCCTCTTTCAGTTTAAATCCATTGCCCCTTGTATACACAAATTAAGTCAGGCTTTTCAATCAGATAAAGCACAATGGACTCACTATCTCAAACTTTTGTTCTACCAATTCTGCTCGTTCACAAAGTGAAGGTAATTAGAGCACTCTCTTTTTGTTTAGGAAAAGCAGTTTGGAAATTGCATTTTCTGCATCTCTTGCACTTCAAAAATACTAAACCTTTACAGTAGTTATTTATAAAAAGATAAATTTAGTTGGCAATTCTTCCTCGAAATGGAACACAAAAATGACCATAAAGATTTATATTCTATTCATAAAAGAGATAATATATGCTCAATATATTGTGTCATTTTCTACTGATTTCAGCACACAAATGCAGCGTGTGGCATATGGAGGTGCACAAAGACTCAAGTGGATCAGCTTAGGATCACACTGAGTAAGAAAAGAAATTAAGCTGGAAATAACACTTTGAATGAATAAAGTTTTGAATCTGCCACAAGAAACGCAGGTATGACACCTTCTGAAATCCCAAACCAAGTACTAATCCTATTGTAGAGAATCAGAAATTGTTTGTGGGAAACTGCCCTGATATTGAAATGATTCAAAAGACTGAAGTAATGGCACATGCTGATAAAAGTTTTGAGATAAGTCCATAAAAGGAACTTAAAAAGTGGTAAGAAGACAACTGCAATATAGTTCCAAATAGTCCACTCGGACTGTTTAGTAC